GACATTCCAACTCGTGCCTGTAGGAAACGGTGGCGGATAGTGGGATGGAGGAGGAGGGGAGGGGGAGGAGAAGGGAGGAAGCAACATGAGGGAGAGGAGGATGGGAACTGAGTTTTTGTTTGCTGAGAGGGCGAATCTTTTAATGCCCAACGCACAGCCGAGCAAATGCAATCTCGTGAACGAGGAGAAGTATGCAGGAGGGGCGAAGGCGGAGGAGGAGGAGCGAGGGAGGAGGCAGAGTGGGGGAGGGAGGGGCAGGAGGGTGCAAACACGACTCGTCAAGCATAAATGGACGATTTTTGTGCGCGGGTCTTGCGCGGTCGGCGCTACTTCAATGCTGGCATGAGACGTTTGGCCTGCACGCAGGGGTGTCCGAAATTCGGCAGCGCTGCCCTCGCAGCATTGAAGAACGGGTTCTCTGACGAGTGCCCGAGCTATCGGGCGCTGCGACTTTGAACGGCGTGTCACACTATGTTCGGATGCAACTCCTGGGAGGTCAAATTTGAATTTCGCCCTGGTTCGAAGTCCAGCTTAATCCTGTTTAGTCACGCTTAATCTAGTTCAATCCCGCTTGATCCGAGGCCCACTCCAGCCTAACAGCCCCCCAATGGGGCTTCATCCTCCTCAATCCTTTCGACGAAGACCTCCCATCAGTTGCCTCCTGAAAGAGGGGGAAGGAGGGAAGGAGCGGAGGATGGGAGTCGGGACGGGAGGATGAGGATGGGGCGGGAGGGATGGGAGTAGGAATGGGGATGCTGGGAGGAGGGAAGGCTGGGAGGAGGGGGGAGGAGGGAAGGGGGATGGGGAGGAGGGATGGGGGGGGAGCGAAGGCTGGGAGCGTCGGGGCGGGAGGCGCGGGACCCCGAGGCCCGCCAGACCAGCGGCAGCCCCGCGAGCCGGCCCGGGGCCGAGGCCCAGGCCGTCCCGCAGCAGGCCGCCCCGGGCCCACCGAGGGAGCTGCCGCCGATCCAGCAGCCGCTCCAGGCGGGAGGGCGGGGGGGTCGGGGATCGGCCGCGGGTCGATCGAGGGTACAGGATCGAGGATCGATCGAGGCCGAGGATCCTGACCGGAGGATCGAAGATCGAGAGGATCGTGATCGGAGGGTCGAGGGTCGATCGAGGGCGGGGGGTGTCGAGGATCGATCGAGGGTCGATCGGGGGCGCGGGTCGAGAATCCAGGGTCGATCGAGGATCGAGTGCTCTTCGCGCCATCCTCCCCAAACCCCCGGCAGGAAGATGATGAGGACGATCAAGCAGTGGCGAAGCGTCCTGGCTCGCCTATAGCCCTACCAAACAATGTTCTAAGAACCTTTTGTGGTTCCCACGAAATGTTCTTGGAAAAATGGACTGTCTTGTTTTAGCACATCGGGTTTATGTTCTAAGAACATTGTTTTTGTTTTTAGAACTTGTTCGGGTTCTACGAAAATTTCGTGGTATGACTATAGGAATGCCGGGACGGTCGGTCCCTGCTCAAGAGGATCTTCGGAGAAGGAGCCGTGGTAGGAGGTAGGGTGATTTCCATCGTCGCTCTCCTCCTCCCAACCCCTTCGCCTGCCTGACCTCCTCCCGTCCATTATCTGTCCTCTTCCTCCAACTTACCCCAGCGGGCGGCGGGGGGAGGAGGGGGATACGGGGCACGTGTAAGGCAGGAAAGGTGAATGGGGAGAATGGTGAGGAGGGGGGCGGATCAGGACTAGGATGATGATGAGGGGGAGGAGGACGAATGATGATGATGATGATGATGATGATGATGATGATGATGATGATGATGATGATGATGATGATGATGATGATGATGATGATGATTGATGATTGATGATGATGATGATGATTGATGATGATGATGATGATGATGATGATGATGATGATGATGATGAGGAGGAGGAGGAGGAGGAGGAGGAGGAGGAGGAAGATGAACAGAGGAATGTGAGGGGATGATGATGATGATGCTGATGTTGATACTGATGCTGATGATGCTGATGATGCTGATGATACTGATGATGATGATGATGACAAACACGATGATGCTGCTGCTGATGATGATGGTTGTGATGATGATTCTCATGCTGATGATACTGATGCTGCTGCTGCTGCTGATGATGATGATGATGAGGAGAATGATGACTGTTAGTATGCTCTGTTGTCGTTGATAATGGCTCGGGTGCTGATGCTGATGATGATGCTGGTGGTGATGATGTTGAGGATGGTGAGGCTGATGCTGAGGCTGCTGCTGATGAATAGGATGCTGTTGCTGCAGGTGATGATGATGATGATGATGATGATGATGATGATGATGATGCTGATCACGCGGATGATGATCCTACTGATGAGGACGAGGATGATGATGGTGATAATGGTGATGATGGTGATGGTGATGGTGTTGAGAATGGTCGTGGTGGTGATGTTGATGATGTTGATGCTAGTGGTGGTGATGATACTGACGATGACGGGGCGGGTGATGCCGATGATGGTGACGCTGATGTTGATGTCGACGATGATGAAGACGATACGGATGTCGTAGTCGACGGCGACGATGATGCTGATTCTGATGATGATGTTGATTATGATGGTGATGATGCTGGTGGCCGTGGCGATGGCGGTGTTGTTCATACGTGCGATGATAACAATGCTGATGATCATGTTGATGGTGGCGATGATGATGATGATGATGATGATGATGATGATGATGATGCTGCCGATGATGCTGATGATGATGCTGATGCTGATGATGCTGATGTTGATGATGATGGCGGTGCTGACAATGCTGGTGATGATGACGCCGATGACGACGACGACGAGATTGATCATGATGGCGTTGATTATGCGGCTGATGATGCTGACGATGATTGAATAATGGCAGCGGTAATGCTGTTGCGGACGACACCGATTATGATGAGGGGGGTTACGAGGACGACGACGCCGATGCTGACGCTGATGACGATGATGAGGACGAGACGGATGATAACAATCAGTATGTGTGTTGCGACGGTGAAGATGGTTGTGGTGATGGTGTTGATATTGATGTTGGATGCCGATTACGGTGCTGATGATGATGCTGATGATGATGGCACTGATACTGATGCTGCTGCTGATGATGATGATGCTGTTGGTGAAGACGATTCCGTTTATCATGCTGTTGTTGATGATGGTACGACGACGACGATGGTGGCCATGTGGATAGATGGTGACGATGATGAGGATGATGATGCTGATGATGGTGATGATGATGATGATGCTGATGATACGGACGACGCCTCGACGATGACGACGATGATGCGGATGATGGGGCTGCGCACGACGACGATGTCGGCGCTGACTCTGACGCCGAGGACAATGACGCTGCTGCTGAGTCGGGTGATGCTGTTGTTGATGATGATGGTGGAGCTTGTGATGCTGCTGTTGATGATTGCGATGCTGCCGCTGATTGCATGATTGCGATGGTAGTGCTTGTGGTTATGATGATGATGGTGACGGCAACGACGACGGAGATGACGACGACGATGTTGCTATTGATGTTGGTGGCGGTGATGATGGTGGTGAAGGTTATGTGGTGGGGCTGTGATCGTGGGGCGTATGGTGATGCTAAGCCATTGTGATGAGTGCGGTGATGATGATGCTGGTGGTGGTGATGATGATGCGGCTGCTGATACTGCTGCGGCTGCTGATGATGATGATGACGATGATACGGCGACTGCTTCCGATTGAGATCATGAAGAGGAGGAAGAGGAGGAGGAGGAGGAGGAGGAGGAGGAGGAGGGGGGGGAGGAGGAGGAAGAGAAAGAGGAGGAGGCGGAGGAGGAGGAGGAGGAGGAGGAGATGGAGGAGAGACGGGGTGGAGGGAGAGGGGGTGAATGTGGAGCAAGTGGAAGAGGGAGGCTTGATCACCCCCCCCATCCTGGCCCCGTACTCTTTCTCCTCTTACACCTCTGCCTCCACATTCCCCTCCTCCTTGTTGACTCCTGCCCCCCCCCCCCGGCGCGGGAACGCGGCTGGGGGACGGAGGGGCGACAGGGGGCGGAGGAAGAGGAGTAGCATGAGTGGACCGAGACCCAGAGGGAGGAAGGGGGGGAGGGCGGGAGTGGAAGGAAACGGGCCCAGGGGGGATGCACCGACCGCGATCGCCGATGGGGGGCCGAGCGCCCCCCTCGTCCAGGAACGTGTGGGTTCCCTGTTGGAGGTCTATCGCCGATCTATCAGCCCTGTATCTGCCGACTCCACGTCGATGCCCCCCCCGAGCCAGTCCCCCGTAACGTCCCCATTCAAATTCGATCCTCCCACCTCTCGAAGCGGATCGCTCCCCCTCCCTCCCTCCCTTCTCCCCCTCCCATGGTCCATCTCGATCCAGTCGATACGATTCGATATCGATTCTGCTCGGCTCGATCCGATCCGAAACCAGTATTCCGCCGATCCGATACTGCCTGGTGCTTGCTTGGCGTTGTCGTGCGTCTTGGCGCAGCCCATCCGAGTAGACCTCGGCTCCGTGCAGATGCGGCCCGATTCTGAGACCACTTGCGAACCCTACCACCCGACTTCCCGATCCGATGCTGACAGACCCTACCCCCCTTCAGTCGAGGGGCCTCGTGCTGGACCTATGGAGGAGAGCGACTTTATATTGGTCTACCCCGTTCAGTCCCATGCCCGCTCCCAGGAGGGAGGAAGACACTCCGAGTAGGAGGGGGAGGGGGGAGGGAGGAGGATCAGGCAAGCATCGGCTTGGCATCAATCGCTCCATGGCATCCCGGGACGCTCTCGGTGCGTTCCTGGACTCCTCCAGACCCGCCGGATCTCAGAAGTGCCCGGCTCGTCCCCTTTTTTGAGGTTTCTCCTCCAAGGACGTGGAGCCGCGCACCCAGGCATCCGACGTCGTGTTCTGCTCGCAGCGCGGCCCAAAGTGCCCTCCCGCGTGGGGGCGAGGGGAGGAGGCGGAGGAGGAGGAGGAGGAGGAGGAGGAGGAGGAGGAGGCGGAGGCGGAGGCGGAGGCGGCGGAGGAGGAGGAGGAGGAGGAGGAGGAGGAGGAGGAGGGAGGAGGAGCAGGAGGAGGAGGAGGAGGAGGAGGGGGAGGGAGGGGGAGGGGGAGGGGGAGGGGGAGGGGGAGGGGGAGGGGGAGGGGAGGGGGGAGAGGGGGAGGAGGGGAGGAGGAGGAGGAGGAGGAGGAGGAGGAGGAGGAGGAGGAGGAGGAGGAGGAGGAGGAGGAGGAGGAGGAGGAGGAGGAGGAGCCTGCGCCCCGCCCGGGGGCTGGCCTCGCATCCCGAGCCGTCTCCCTCGGCGGCCCCCCGGCCGGGCCCCGCAGGGCCCCCAGAGAGCGGCCGCGGGCTCCCGTCGTGAGGTCTCCGCGGCGCAGGGGCTGTCAGGGAGCAGGGCTGGGCCTGAACGGTGTTTTGGCGATTCGTGGGCCGTTTTCGTTTCGATATCGTTTTGCGGTAGAGGTGGATTGAAGACAAAACGAGGGAAAACGAACACAAAACGAATACGAAGAACACCGTTTAGGTTCCAGCCGGCCCGGCCGGTCCGGCGCGGACCTTTTACAGTTTACATGCACGCCGTGTTTTGCTTCTCTATTACATGGAGGTTTTGGGGGGGGGGCTGTGGCGAGGCCCGAAAGCAAGTCTGGGCTTCGCGCAAATCGGGATCCACTTGCGCGCGTTCTCGGCCCAGCGCTGCCTGAGAAGACGGCGGAGGGCGAGGGGGGGCGAACGCCATGCAAGCAGCACTGTCGGAGTAAAAACGATCACCCCCCTCTCAAGGAGGAAAACCTGTGCAGTTGTTCGATGTCCAGGCCTCGTCTCAGAGGGAGGAAGGCGAGTTGAGACAAGGGCGGTTCCCCCGCCCAGCCCACATTCGCTCAACATTCCCTGACCATTTTTATTGAGGCGGATCAAGCCGTGGCGACGAGAAGTCTCCGGGAGGCCCACCAGAGGACGAGCACTCCTCCAGGGAGGGCCGCCGTTGTCTCCGACGGGCCCCCCTCCGTCTCGAGGAGGTGGGCGGACCTCTGTGCAGTCGTTCCATGCTTGGGAGGGAAACACAGGGGGCAACACACGAACAACTCTGGCCCTTCATGGGAGTACGTGGGCATGCGGATGTGGGAAGTGGAGGGCGATCGAGAGGGCAGTCCACGACAGACGTACGAGTTTTGAGAGCCTTCCGCCGCACGGTGGCCGTTCATATGCGCCATCGCTCGCTGGACTGCTCACACTCCGTGGTTGGACGCTTCATTTGCGTGGCGTTTGGGGCAGCTCACTGGCTGCACGCTTGCGTCGCCGAGTGTGTCATCGCGCTGACTTGTCCGCTCCCCCTCCTCCCCTTCAAGCTAGCGCTGGAAACAAAAAACAGTCCACGACGCACGGAGAACTACGAGGTATCCCAGACTCTGTGCCGATCTGTTGGTGTCCCCCTGGGCCAAGTCGGGCATGTCCCCCTACAGGAGGAATCTTCTCAAGAGTATCAAACAATAGTCTGCGGACGATGTTTCTATTTTTTTGCCACCATTCTTTTTCAATACTTTTCTGTTAGTCTTCGTTTTCCTTCCACTATCGGCCTGTAGGAGGACGTGCCCGAGCTCACCCTGGCCCCCCCGACGCGTGCCGTCGGCCGCTGCGTCCCGGCCTCGGGTGCGCGGCGCCCGCCCCCGCGGCCCCCGCGCGAGCTCGAGGCGGCGGCGCCGCCGCCGCAGCCCTTGCAGCAGCCGGAGCAGCAGCTGCACCACCCCCCGGAGCTGCAGCACCAGGCCCCTGTCGGGAGCCTCGAGACGGGGGTCAATGCAAACGGGGGTCAGCCAGGGCGCCAGATCTTGCAGGATCCTGCGGAGACCCCCTCTGGCTGACCCGGGTTAGCGAGCCGCTCGTGGCCGCGAGGCGGCCGCTTGTATTGGCTGACCCAGGTTTGCGAAGACCTGCGTTGCAGTTTTCTGTTTTCCTGCATTGCAGTTTTTGGTTTCCTGCTGACCCTGGTCTGGATTGACCCGGGTCAGAAGATCCCCGACCCTGCCCTGAACTCGTGGCGCCAACATCGCAGGGCGGAATGCGTTCGGGAAACAAAGGGATGGGCCCAGATTGCCCTGGAGAGTTTCGTTCCGGATTTCGGAGGGAATTTCGTGCGTTCTTGTTCGGTCAGGAATGAAGGCTACATGAGATCCACGTGAAATTCACGTCGTTTTTCGGTCGCCTTTTTGGAATATTGCATTGAGAGAAAGTCACGCAGAAATCCGCTGCAGCACGTTTGCAAGGCCAGTGCAATGACCTTAAGTCAGTCATGTCCCTCTACAGGAGGAATATTCACAAATAGTTACCAAAATAGTCTGGGGACGATTTTCTGATTATTTCTCGACTAGTTTTGAATTTGTTTTTACATGTTTTCCACTTTTCGCTCAGAATCGCTCTGGGGACATGCCCGACCTGCCCCTGCCCTCAGTATCGTTCACGTAATTTCAGGCCGCCTAGATGGGGTCGGAGTAGATGGAGTCGGAGGATCGCGCCGCATCGCCGATGCATTGACGATGCGGCTCGATGTGAAGCCCGTTTTTTCGTTTTTTCCCACGCCGACGTCGCCGATGCCTCGCCGACGTCGCCAGTGCATGGCCGATGCATCGCCGATGCATCGCAGATGCGGCTGGATCCTCCGACCCGGTCTACTCGGACCCCATCTAGGTGGTCTCTAGTAACTGATCCCTGAATCCGTCGGCGAGCGCACGGGTGAAGTGAGGCGGAGGAGGCCTTTCAGAAGGCTCGGCGGTCCCCGCGCCCGGCGAGGGGCCAGAGAACACTTCTCAGAAGGCCCGGAGGCCTTTTGAGAAGTGCCGCCGCCCTCTGGGAAGGCCTTCTCCTTCTCACTTCCCCCCCTCGCTCGCCGTGGATGAATCCCCCTTCATGCTCGCGTCGATGCAAACATCAGGACAGAAGGTTTTTGCATTGCTTTCGGCATCTGGGGCTCCTGCCAGGTCCTGGGATTGTCAGAACAAAGCACTCGGGTTGAACAACTGGCCCAGGAAACGGGTCGGGACTCCCAGGAACCCCGTATTCCTTTAACAACATCAGGACGTCGCATGTCTGGGCCCCCATGCACATCCCCTTCCCATCCCGATCCCCGCCATCCCACCACCCCAGTTTGGGGATGTACCTCTCGAAGCCCAAAGGGAGCAGCCTATATCCCCTTGTTTGGGGGGTCGATCGCCTAGTTGGGGCCTGGCCACGCTGGTGGGGATAGAGCCTGGTCAAACGATGATCATGCCTCGGCCTCCCAGAGGGTCTCCGAGCAGCTGGGGTCGGAGAATCAGGCCGCATTGCCGATGCATTGCCAATGCATCGGCGATGCATCGGCGCCGTCGGCGTGGAGAGAAACGTCCTCCACATCGAGCCGCATTGGGGGGCAACAAACCATCCTTTGATTTCTGTCTGGGCCTACCAGATGGAGCCCGAGCAGCCGAGGCTGTGAGGCCTCTGGTTCCGCGGCGAGGGCCGAACCCTACCCTCGCCGATCAACACTTCAGAGGCGACTCGATGGGTGGCGGGGAGATGGTTCGGAACTCGTCGAGCACGTTGCAGCACCCGAACCCCGCGCCCGTCTCCTCTCAATTCTTGGGGAATCGATGGTGGGGGGGGGTAATCCGGGTCCATGTGTCGCCCCATAGCACAGACAGCCCCCTCAGGTACAGTCAACCCGCACAGGAAGGATGAGCGACTTCCCAAGGGTACCCTTGCATCCTTGCCTCTTCGGTCATCTTCGGCCCATCCTCAACCGCTTTCGAAGGCCAGCCCCGCTCGAGGAGCCTCGGCATGGGCGCCCAAGGCCCTTGCATCCTTGCCGCGCATCCTTACTCTACGGGTCGACTGTAGGCCCCTCTGGCCTCAACAGGCCCCCCGAGTGGTCCCAGCTGGCCTCCACAGGCCCCCCGAGCAGTCCAGAGGGCGGCCTCCTCCTCCTGGCGCCGCCTTCGGCGGCGCCCCCAGGGGCGCTCCGCGTCCCTTTGGGTTGGGGTGCTGATATCGCCCTGGGCTGCTTGGGGGGCCTGTTGGGGTGTGCGCTGTGCGAGTGTAGTGGTACCCGCCGCCCAGCACTGGTCTATTTTCAGTGGCTGTGACCCGGCGCACGTGCATTCTGCATAGTTTTCTGCACATGTTCTGGCCTTCGTTTTCCATGCCAATGTGTGCCGATGCGCCGTCTAGGCGCGGCTTCTGTTCTGTTCTGTTCTGTTCTGTTCTGCTTGGGGGGCCTGTTGAGGCCAGCTGGGGCTACTCGGGCGTCATGTTGAGGCCGGCCGGAGCTACCTGGGGGCCTGGATCGGAGCTTAGGAGACGGGGGTCAATGCAAACGGGGGTCAGCCAGGGCACCGGACCCTGCAGGATCCTGCGGAGGCCCCCTCTGGCTGAGCCGGGTTCGCGAGCCGCTCGTGGCCGCGAGGCGGCCGCGCCTATTGGCTGACCTGGGTTTGCGAAGCCAGGCGTTGCAGTTTCTTTCCTGCATTGCAGTTTTTGGTTTCCTGCTGACCCAGGCCTGATTGACCCAGGTTGGCAGATTCCCGACTGGAGCTGTATGTGCGCAGCCCGAAGCCTTACCAAGGGGGGTCGGATGATCGCGCCGCATCGCCGATGTGTCGCTGATGAATCGCCGATTCGGCTCGATGTGAAGCCCGATGTTCTCCACGTCGACGGTGCGGATGCATCGCCGACGTCGGCGATGCGTCGGCGGTGGTGCGTGATCCTCCGGGTCCATCTGCTCGGACACCATCGGGGAGGCTTCTATGACCATTGGATGCCTGATTTTTCGGGTCGCGACCGACGAGAGGGATTGGTCACGACCGGTCGCGACTGATTTTGGGATTGGACGCGGTTGGTCGCAACTGATTGGGAGTGCGCATCGGTCGCCACCGATCGCGCCCGAAAAATCTGGCATCCAAGGCATCGGATTGTGCACGGACCCAGACTTGTTCGAGCCGTGAGAACTTAACTACGCAAGGATGTTCGCTGTCTCTCACTTCTGGGGGGGGGGGCAATGCTGGGCCTCA